TACCACCTTTTAAAATGAATAAAGATTTAAGTATATAGATCAAAATAATCTTTTAAAAATAGAAGAATCAAAATTAAATAAAATTGAACCAAAATAATACTAGACAATACATTAAACCTTCTCGAAAACAGTATCAAACTTCTAAAATCGTATAAATCAAATTAAAATGAAGTAGAACTGAAACAAAATGAGCCAAGTATAAGAAGAATATTGAGGATCGGAGGAGAGGAAATCGGCGTAGAAGTGGTTGGCTCAGGGTTTGGCCGTTTTGTGGAAAGATGCAATTATTGGAGTTTTTATTTACTGATTTTTAAAGTCGAATTACGATTCTCCCGGACGACTGCCTCGTACGAACGTCACCTCAAATTGGGACCCACATCCACCTTCTCCCCTCACGTGGTCCCCACCATCACACCGAAAATGACCCAGCAGCCAAAACTTATAAAGAAAAAAGAAAAATACTACTTCAACCTTGCCTCATTAATTCCAAGTGCAAACATGGCCTTGAATTGAAAGGCCCTCCCCTCTTTAGCTTCGTGTCCATATTTCCACATGTGCCGCTTTCTTTTTCTCTTTTTTTTTTTTTTCTTTCTAAATTTATGGTGATCAAAATTCTATTTGCTCGTAATTAATATTCACTCAAAATTAATGATTATAAAAAGTAGCTCATTATGTTATAAATATTTGTTAGTTAACATCAAAATGTTTGATTTAAACATATGTTTTATGATTATGAAACACATCAACAAAGTCTCAAATAAAATCTGATGACTGGGTAAAAATTACGGTATTTGATAGGGTAAAAAAATGAGTTTTTTTTTTTTTTTCCTAAGGGTATTTAAGATGTAATTTGCTTACTAGATGTGTATAATTCTACTTGCAATTAGTGAGAAATCCAAGGAAGTCCAATCCAGCTATCATCAGCTAAACTGAATTAAAAAGAAGTTAAAATAAAGAAGGCCCATTAATCAAGGTTTAGCGAATCATGTTGTCACGTTAATCAAAGACTTTAATGTTTAGTATTAAGGCAAATTTCAAGTTTCAAAACACTGTTTTGTTCTTTAGCTTTATGGGAGGCGACGCCCATGGCCGATGCCTTTGTTGGCTACACTGCTTAAATTTAAAACTATGTTCCTTTTTTTTTTTTTTTTTGAGGATAATAAAACTATGATCTGTTAATAATCACTCGGATTTATAAATCCCTTCACCTCATTCTCTTGTCTTTTTCTAATCCCACCTTCTAATTTTAACATATATTTCTTTTTCTTTTTCTATATATTTTTTAAATAGTTGGTTTGATTTGTGTTCCTTTTGTCCCCTCCCACAAATGGGACTCAACCATCAATGCTTTGTCTTTTCTCATTTATTTATTTTATTTTTAATAATATTCATTTTCCATTATTGTGGAGAGAATAGAGAAAAACAAAGTAAAGTGAAAGACGATGGAATTTATTACTTCCTTGCGTTGGTGATGAGATGAGAGTTTTGTTTCATGCACAGATAGCGACTGTACAAGTAGGACTGTAAGTGGTTGAATTCAGGTCCAATATTTTTGCCTTAAAACCAATATATTGTTTTTTCTATTTCATCCAAATTTTTGGTTTCCATTCCACTGGGTTGTGCTAAAGAACAGGCCTTTGATTATCTAAAATTTAGAGTATTTTGATTTAAATTATTGCTCTATCAATAATTGAACCTGAGTATATTGAAGATTGTACAATAATGCAATTAAAAATATCTAATTGCCAAGGACAATAGTACCATTAACTTTCACGACGATTTCATACTAATGGAAACAATTGTCCTCATCTATATACCACAGATCATTTACTTGCCTAATCAATGTGGACTTTGTTTGCATTCTCCTTACAAATCCAACACATATAGACATCAAAAGCTTCATTTCAGACACTGCAAAATAAAATGAGATTGGGAGATTAATTTCAAATTTTTTAGTTAATAAAAGAAAAAAGTATGTCTAAAAGACTCCTCCAAAATTTATTGAATTTTGTGACAATAAGCCTATTATTTTCTTAATTAAATACTCATAAAATGTAGAGTTAGACAAGAGTTTAAATATAGAGTGGAGTGAAAATGAAGATGGAGATGGGGGAAGGGAATAAAACTTGGTAAAATGAAATGATTAAAAGCAGTAAGAAAAGAATCCCAATTCCCATATGATTTAGCAGCTTTAAGCTGTATCAAATCCCTTTTCTTTTTTTGCTAATGGTGGAAGAGCATAGAAAGGAGAGAAGCATTTATGATTACAACTGAAAACAACGCCCATCCCCCAATATACCAAAGATAGATTATATATAAGAGAGAGAGAGAGAGAAAAAAAAAGGTATTTTTTTTGCCATAATGAATGATGAATGCCCATTACTTTGTTGTTCGTGTTTTAGATAAAAAAGGAGCCAAAAAAGTTGCTCTTTTCCCCGCTTTTTAGTCATGACCGTTTGGTAGTGGGTTTGACCATTCCACCAGTTCTTCACATATCAAATTAAAATGGTTCCGATTACAAAACCTCTTAAAATCGATTCATCATAAGTTTATACGTTACAATATTTATGTGGTTTGTCAAAAATTTTAAAGAATTAAACCATCTAAAATAAGAAAAGTAGAATTTCTACCATTTTAAAAATAAATAAAAAGTTAGAGAAAGCATTAGAAACTTCCCTCAACTAGTGACTTAATTTCTTTAAAAATTCGTCCGCTCACTACATATCATGTCATGGAATCTTATCATTAGCTAATTTTAACATTACCAATAAGTCAATATGTGAGTTTAGTTCAGCAATTAAGATATCTTTCTCATTCTCTAAATTTGGAGGTTCAATCGTTCATATCCATATTTGTTGTACTAAAAACACATTATTGGGTATAATTGAAAAAAAGGTTAAAACGTAGAGACTTTAAATTTCAACTTTTTTAACCAAGGATTACATTACAAAAATACTTAAATAGTAGAGACTATGTTAAGGATTCCAATTTGAAAAGAAAATGTATCTAACAAGAGTTTATAATATAAATAAGTTACTTCTCTCATAGCTAATTGGTTTTGAGATGGAACCCATGAATATTGATATGGTATCAGAGTCCAAAAGCTCAAAGATCTTGAGGGGACATGTTAAGGATCCAACATTGAAAAAAGATCTAACAATGGTTTATAATATAAGTGGATTACTCCTCTCATAGTCAATTGGTTTTAAGATGGAACCCATTTATATTATAAAATAATGTTAGGTCCCTTGTTATATTATAAACATTTATTTTGCCTCACAAATTTAATTGAGTATTAGCCAAAGCGAGCATAGCTCAGCGTTAATTGACATATATCTCCAATCAAAATGTTGTGAGTTCGATCCACCACCTTCATATATTGTATTAATATTTAAGTAATAATGCTAGTTTAGTACTATATTTAGCATTATTACTTAAATATTAATACAACATGCTGATTGGACTAACAATTGATGATGAGACATAAAGAGAGTGAACTAATTTTTTTTTCCTTTTAATACATGTCTTCACAGTTAAGCTCAAGTTGGCAAGAGAATGTACTTGTTAATAAAATAAGGTATGACAAAATACATTTTAAGCTTTATTATTATTATTATTGTCCATCTATTTTCATTTTATTTAGATGTTGTACTCATACCCTGTTGTGTCGAATCATCACTCGTTAATCTATTTCATGTCATATTAATATTTAAGTACTTTCATGTCATATTAATATTTAAGTAAAATTTATTATAGTCAAAAGAAGTAATCATGGATTGACACATTGGTCCAAAGTAACATAACATAGGTAATTCAGAAAGGATTCAGAAAGGATTTAGAGGGGAGGGATGTTTCCTTGAAACCAAACTTGTTTAAACAGTGGTGTGGCCCAAAACCCTTGGGCTCAGACCTCATAATTGGGCTACAATGGGCTTCCATAATAGCACAAATGGGCTAAGAATAAAGGGCTCTACTTAAAATATCTCTTTGGATCAGTTGGGACAGAAAAAGCCACTAGGTTAGAGATAATACAACTTTAAAATTTTTGAAATTAGTATATCATTAGATAACCTTCAACCCTTCAATATTAAAAACAATAATATCTGTCTTCTCTCTCTTCCTCTTTCTCCATTCAAAAACATAATAATAATCATTTTAAAAATTAATTTCCTATTAATTTTTGATAAAAAATCACCTGGGAATCACCTTTTAAGTGATTGATCGGGAATCACTTAAAGTGATTTTAGATTTTTTTAAAATCACTTGAATATTATTGCCAAACATGTTATCTTAAAAGGGTAGTTAGTGATTTTGACATTAGTAACCAATTAATCAAATCACGGGTTAATTAATATTTATATCGAATGTAAATTACTTATTTATTTCAAAATTAGATTAGGGTTACAATCTTTTAACTTATTAAGTTTAACTATTTTTTTAAATACAACAAATATAGAGAAGGAGGATTAAACCTCTGATCGAGAATCAACAAGATATCTTATAATCAGTAACCACCCAAGTATGGTTAAGTTGGCATATTAACTATTTTTCTAATTACATATTGCAATAAAATTAATTTTGGAACAAGCCCATAAGAGTTATAAAAGCAATCCTTAAAGTGCTATAAATAATCTTTATATCAATAATTCCAATAGGCAATAATTAGCCGATGTAAGTATTTACTTTTTGACCATTCATTATTCTGTTTACTCCGTTTCATTTTTGCATTTCTCTCTTAATTTTCAAATATTTAATCATGTTAAGAAAAAAGCTATAAGTTTGAGGAGCCAAATTTTTTCTATAAAATAAAACTTATCTCACACTCACTGCTTGACAAAATGAAAGCGACTCCTTCAAAATTCATTATAAAAATAAATAATAATAATAATAATAGGCAGTTACGTTCACACGTGCGAACTCAAATGTTTAAGCGTGTAAAGGGTTGAAAAAACACTCAAATATAATTAATTTATATTTGCAGAGGAGATCAAGAGAAAAGAAGAGAAGGGTTTGCTGGGGCTGAACATTTTTGTGAAATGGAAGAAGATGATCATTCTGCGTTGTTATTTCATGATCAGTATTATTATCAGATGAATTCATGATCAGTATTATTATCAGATGAACAACAACAACACGTGTGATTCACGTGCATTCGTCGCGGCGTCGGAGGAGCCTACGTTTTCTCGGCCGACGGCTGAGATAATTTGTTCTTCACATGGGATGCACACGAGCTTTTCGCCGCCGTCGATTAATAATAATATTCCTGAAAAGAGAAAGCCAACTCCGACCACGGCGCATGCACAAGATCACGTCCTCGCCGAGAGGAAACGCCGGGAGAAACTCAGCCAGCGATTCATCGCTCTTTCTGCCCTTTTACCCGGCCTTAAGAAGGTAAGGCCCATTTTAAACATGATTAAATTATCAATAAATCTAAAAGCTTAAGCTAAGAGACAATTGATTATTTTGATTTTGATTTTGTGCACAGATGGACAAAGCCTCGGTTCTTGGAGATGCAATAAAGTACATAAAACAAGTAGAAGAAAGAGTGAGAGTGCTGGAGGAAAAGGCAAAGAAGAGAAGCATTGAATCTGCCATTTTGGTTAACAAATCCCATTTATATAATGACTGTGATGAGGAAATTAGTAGGTTTTCCGACCAAAAACAGCTGCCGGAAATCGAGGCAAGAATCTCAGACGACAAGAATAATGTTCTTGTTCGAATCCACTGTGAGAAAAATGAGGGTTTGTTCGCAAAGTTATTGGGGGAAATGGAGAAGATGAATCTCACCATCGTTAATGCCAATTTCTTCCCCTTTGGCACTTCAACTCAATATATGGTTCTTGTCGCTCAGGTACCTCTTTCTCTCTCTCTCATTCCAATTTTTTCTTCCTTAAATAATAAATATTTCGAACAAAACCTTCATTCTTTCATAACATTTTTCTTTCTGATTCTGAATTATATGTGTCTCACTACCAAACTTAAAAAGATGGTTTTCGAAGAAATGCTTTGAATTATCTGAAATTGGGCTAAAATTTTGAAATTGTTTTAAGAAGGGTGAAAATTTAATTAAACCAATAATGAAATATGGATACATAGAAAGTAGTTTTTGAACTTAGATTCTAAAAATAGAAAAAAAAGAAATAAAATAAAAAATAAAAATTAAGTGGGTAACCATCATGACAGCTCATCCGTTCAAATTGGCAACGTGTAGAGAGAATGAGTTCAAATCCCACTTATCCAATAAAATTAGTCGTGGTGTGCATGCAAGACACCCACGTAGTCTAGAATTGAAATGGTTTTATCCAAATATGCAGTACATGAATGTAACGATCTACAATTTGCTTTATTCAAAATTTTTTGTTGTTGTTTTTCTCATGACATTTGATTTCAATCCGATTAAATCTGCCATCATTCCAATATAAAACTGTTCTGTTCAGATTTCCGATGTAAAATTATTATCCAAATTAAGTCTAAAATTGAGATTGTTTTATCTCATGAATATACGACATGCATGAATATGTAACGACGTGTGACATATTCTGAATGCAGATAGATTCAGAGTTGAAGATCAAATCAAAAGAGGTAGTACAAAAGTTAGAAGATGCACTATTCAAGTTCATATAATTAAGTAGTCCATCTAAATAAGAAAGCTAGTAGCCTTGTTTAAACTTTAAAGGTTGAAAATACAAATCTTCCTTACCGTTTTTTGAATAATAATATACTCTTAAAAAAATAAGAAAAACTACGTCAAATTAATTTGCAATTACTTCGACGAAGGTACTGTTGGGAGAAGTCAAACCCAAATCCCCCACCAACCAATAGGCTCCAGCTAGTACTCTAATGATGGATGGTATGACTTTTGTCAAGAGATTGAAGATTTCTGATTAATTTATTTTAATTTCAATGGTGATGGAGACTGGCTTGATTTTGGTAATCACTGGGAAAGGGATTTTTGAACCACAAACAGACCATTCAAAAGTGTGTTTTTGTTTTATATTTATCACTTATGTTACCTTACAAACTTCAATTCAATGCTTTTGAGTTGTCCCAATATCCGAAAAATATGATTTTCCCTATACTATTCAAATGATTGCCGTATCAATATTTCATTTTGACTAAAATATATCATTCAATTCTTCAAGTTTACTCTTCTTAAACATGAGATATGAGAATTTGAAGCTCTTACTTCAAGGGAATTAAGACAAGGTACATTTATAACATTTATATCATTGGTTGACATCCTTAATATTTGATTGAAAGTTTAGTAGATTGGATTAAAAAAACTTCCAACGTTTTTTTTTCTCAAGTAATAAGGCTTGAGAATGCAAGGAGGATGAAGAAAAAAATATTAGGAAAAAGGAAGGAGAAGAAATGATCGTGTACATCCACAGTTTAGACAATACGTTAATAGACCATGGAGATAACTACTTGTCTCTTAGAATTCGAAAGAGTGATGTGAAGCCCAGTTCCTATGTATAGTGATATCTAACATATATTAATTAATTTAGAAGTTGTCACATGTAGACTAGGCTCACAATGATAGCATTAATGATTTGTTTGACTTAACTACAAGGACTGGACTATCTAATAGTAGGCTTCTTTAAGCCCAATTATCAACCCTAGCTATTATTATTAAGAGTCTCATCTCATCTCAAACTCTTTTTCAAGAGTTCTATCTCAATCATGAAGATCCTTTATGAATTTAGACATTTAAACATCTCTACTGTAAATATGAACATTCTTATTCCATTAATGTTTGCATTTTCAATAATTGACGTATATCCCTAACCAAGAAGTAATGATTTCTAATCTCTACTCGTACTTGTTGTACAAGAAAAACATCTTTATTCCACTAAGGTATGCATTGTTCATGCGATATCAACGCATTTTGAATTAAATACTAGTTGTAGGATTAGATACTGTGGAGCATCATTGGATAAATCTTCTTCATGTATAAGCCGAGGTTGTATATATAGGGAACAAACAAATTGGTTGACATTAAGTTTGGGATTTGGCATAAAATCCATGTGTAGAAGAATCCAAATGGATGGCAGGCAGCAGGAGACAGGACAATCCACAGTTGTCAATGTCCAATAAAAGGAAAATGGAATCCAAAGAGGAAACAATCCAAAAGAGGATGAATGATAGAATGGCATTGTGGGGTTTTGGTTCTGATTTCTTTACAATGCGCCCCCTTCAACCGACACTGACACCCCACAAGCCTTGTTGGGTATTATTGCCTCTCACTCTGCCCTCTGCCTCCCGCATTCTACCAAATTTGATGGGATGACCTAAATTTTTGTACGCTGATAATGTATATATGGTATTCGCTTTTTTGAAAGTTTTAATTTTCTGATCTTTTACTGAGTCATTCGTCTCGTGAGATTATTTGTTTGATCTTCATTGATTTCTTTCTATAGAATAACGTATAGTTTCTCTCATTTGTTTCTCTTTTATCTTTGTTCTTCGTATTTATTACTTGCATTTCGTCTTCGGCATTTTATCACATTTCTAAATATTCATTTTCGTTTTGTTTACTCTTATTTCTATGGGTTTTGTTGCATTTTCATTGCCTTGTTTTCTATTGTGTTTTCAACACCTTTTCAAATTTCTATGACTTCTGTGTTTTTTCGATTGCGTTATCAATGTCTTTCCATTTTAGATGTGTTATGTGATTGAAAATTTTGTTCTCGCTACATTTTATTTTCATTATGTGATTTCGATACCTATTGTTATTCTCTATGGATCGGAGATTCGTCCTTCAAAGGTGGTGGCCAAGTTGGAGATACGTCTTCAAAGGCGAAGACAAACTGGTGTTCTTTCCAATCATTTGAATGAATTTAATGTTATTCTCTATCACTACCGTTATTGCTATTCTCTATGAATTGTGTCAGTAGAAAATACAGAAGTCACTATATCGTGTTTGAGAGATGAATTCAAATGATACCTATTGCGTTTTCATCCTGCTACACTCCTATCACTATCAATTTTAGAATGGTTGAGACCAAATTAAAAGTATATTGTCAATCCTCGTTATCGTCATCACTAGCACTATAATTAAAAGAAGTAATTTGCATGATAGAGTGATGTCATCAAAGTCAGAAAAACAAGTTTTTAAAAAACTGGACAAATCTCATTAGCACACAAAAATTTAAGGTAGAATATTCATCCTTCTCTCTATTCACAATTCCTTTTTTCTTCGCACTATTATTTATTTATTTGCTTGTTCTAGGGTTAAGTTAGTAAGTTTAGTCATTGAATTTTTAGGCAGCCCTAAAGTAATAAAAATTATATATATATATATATATATATATATAACGTCTCTAATTAAACTTTCAATGTCATGTCTGGTTAACAAAGTCTCTAAAATTTCATAAAAATAAATAAAAACACAAGTTCACTTTAAAAAATATTTAGTAGACTTTTTAATATTCATTTTCATGTCTACTATATTTTAGAATTTTAGGAAGATATTTAATAATTTAAAGTTGAATTAGATCCAAAACTGAAAATTCAAGAATCTTTTAAATACAATTCAAAGTTCAAGATATATTTGAATGCAATATTTAAAGTAAACTTAATAAATTTATTAGACAAGATCTTAAAAGTAAAAAAATTGAACTCCCTTGGGCGTTTTTTTTTTTGGTTGGGTGAAAGTTTTGGCATCGTATACCAAATTCTATTCCTAATCCAAATAGATTTCCTAAAAGAATTTATACTCCCACGAATTCGATTCCTAGAGGCTAGAAAATTGTCACCCCACCAAATTAAATTCTTTGTGGTTCTAAGGAGATGGGCCTCAATTCAAAGGACAGAGGAACGACACCACTTGAAAAAGCATTCCCCAAACAACCAAAACCAGAACCAGAGCCAAGGAGTCTCTGTTTTAATGGCGGATTCGGACCAGCAACAGCATCAGCAGCATTACTTGTGGCCATATTCCTGCTTTGGGATGAAGGATCCAACCCAATACTCGCGCCTCGGCGCCGCTGCCCCCAAAACCAGACCCAGATGGCGACATCTTCTCAAACGGTGGCTCAAGAGCCGCCGCAACAGGGTTCACGCCTCCAAGCCTCCTCTCACCTTCCACTACGACGCCGTTAGCTATTCCCACAACTTCGATGACGGCGGCCGCCATGTTTAGAGACAAGGCCAGGGCTCTCTGTTTCTGGGTTTGATTCAAATTGAGCAACGTTGTATATAGAGAATGAATATTATGACTTCATTTTTGTCGCATTGCTTAATTAACTCTGTTTTTGCTTCCACTGCTGTTCTGATTAGTTCTATAAGTGTGTTGAGTATAGTATGTTGATTTTGGATTTTGCTGCTTATGTACCTTGACTGACATGTCTCTGTTTAGTTTTAGTATGTCATAAAATGTCTCTGAAACGATGGGGAAGCTGGTGCTTGAGGGCTGTTGTTTGCTAAGTTTCGTTTGTGTTCTGGTTTTCTGGTTCAAGTTTTTTAATATTGGGTAAAATACATTCCGATCTCAAGGATAGGTTTTTATTTGATTTCCGATGACGAGATAGTCCCGATATCGACTAATCTCACCAGAGACATTTACATTTTGTTGCCAAAGAAACACCAGGTGACTCTCTGGGTTTGAACATATTCCCTCTAAATTATTTTGATTTATTTCCATTCATTTGGGTCAATGAGCCAATCCATGATAGTTGCTTTGATGAAATTATATTTAGTTTGACTCTACCTTTTAGATTTATTATTGGGAGTTACACCAAGTTGTTACTGTTTTAAACTTAAAGACTAAATAGGAACTGACTCTCAAATTTGAAGAGTGTATTTTACACTTTAATTTTTTTTAATAGTTTTATGGGAAGAATAGATTTAATCTTTGCGGTTCAAATTTAATTTTAATTTGTTTATGAAGTTTCAAATGTGATATATTTGATCCCTAAACCTTAAATTTGATATTTATTTGGTATCTTAACTTTTAAAAGTAACAATTTTAATAGATGTTAACTCACTTTGGTTCGTGAGTTGAATTGATGATTAGTTGACTTAATAAAAATATGACGTGACAATTAACATACTAAAGAAAGTTTAGTGTGGATGAGAGATTAATTCTTTGTTGGTGAATCATTGACTTCTTTTGGAATGTATTTAGGTTCATTAAGAACTTGAATATAACTCAGCTGATTAAGACACTGATGTCCGACCAAAATATTGTAATTTGAATCTCCACTCGTATATGTGCTCTCTAAAAAAAAATGTTATATCCAACTAAACTATAAGCTGATGAGATTTCATTTTATTGGCAACATTTGATTCTATATTTTCGTTATTCGTTAACGTTTCAATCACAATTCACAAAGCAACATGGTTCATCGCCATGAGTGATGTGCATGTTCTTTGGGTACAAAATATGTCATCTTCATATCAAAATTCAACCTCCAAAAAGCATCCAACAGGATATTCCTTCAAGCTTCCTTTTCCAAGCCACATTGACTTCTTTCATGAATTAAACTATCTGGCTATGGTGCCTTTCAACAGTTAAAAAAAAAAAAAAAAAAACAACAACACTCCCCATTCAATCTCCAATCACTCTAATATTTGTATCGCATGATAACAAAAAGTCAACCACGACACAACTATATTTAAGAATATGAATAAGAATAAAAGATTAAATGTAACGCAATCATCTTGGCAGCCGCTTTCTTCTACTACAAATCACCATCTGATCTTGTAATTCCGATCTTGTTCATCTTCTTCCACCTTTCTCCTTGTGTTCATTCCATTTCTTTTCAAATAAACAACTTCGATTCCAATTCCAACATGGCAAATGTGGAACCTCAGAATGGTTCCATTGGATTCAACAACGATCAGATGAATATGGCTGAAGGTGAAAAGGCCATTAGTAGCAGTTCTAATAGCTTGGGTGACTGTTTTTGTTATAGCCATCATTGCAATCTTCTTAATTTCCTTGGCAAGATCTGGCCGAGACAAGAATAAGAAACATCAAAATGCAGTGATGAAATTGGCATCAATTTATACTGATTTGAACAGAGAAGCTTCACCACAGCCGAGGAGATTCTCCTACGGATATCTTTCTATGGCGACAGACAACTTTTCTATGCACAGAAAATTGGGCCAAGGAGGATTTGGGGCGGTGTTTAAAGGCCATTTGCCTGGTGCTGATAAGACAGTTGCTGTGAAGAAGATTTTCAAAGGCTCAAGGCAGGGGAGGAGAGAGTACTTAAGTGAAGTGAAGATCATCAGCAAAATGAGGCACAAGAATTTGGTGCAACTTATAGGCTGGTGCCATCAGAGGGATAATAGTGAGTTTCTTCTTGTTTATGAGTTCATGCCCAATGGAAGCCTTGATTCTCATCTCTTTGGTGGCAGCCCTCCTCCCCCGTGGCCGGTGAGGTACGTTGAACCACCAATGTACTCAAAAGTATCTTTATTTGATTCACCTGAATTCTACGGTGTGAATTATTAATGTTTTTTTAGTATAACAAATATGGGCAGAGCGAGGATTTGAACCTTTAATCTTTAAAAGAAGTATGATGTCATAATCAATATCGCTAAACTATGCTCATGTTATGTCTATGAATCACTCTTGTTAATAGAAGATTAAGTAACATTATTGGAAGATTTGAATACATCATTTTTAAAAAAAAAATTCAAGGATCTTATGAGACACAACTAAGTTTAGGGACGATTAAGGACAACGGTATCCCAAATACCATTTTGCTTTTTGTTTCACCCAAAAGGTCTTATACGAATGGAGATAATTGTTCTCTTTTATATACCATGGTAGGACGTTGTTTGCATACCTTGCAGCCCCAATAAGGACTAAATTTGTAATTTAACCTTGAATCTCTTACTCACATTTCAACGGGTACAAAATATCCTTGGGACTAGCTGCTGCACTGTTATATCTGCACGAAGAACGGGAGCCCAATGTCATCCACAGAGATATCAAATCGAGCAACGTGCTCCTAGATTCYGATTTCACCTCAAAGCTTGGCGACTTCGGATTAGCGAGGCTGGCGAGGAACAACGAACACAACTCGAGAACACCTGAGTTGGCAGGAACGTTCGGGTACATGGCTCCGGAGTACATAAGCAAGGGTAGGGCGAGCAAGGAGTCAGACATATTCAGCTACGGAGTTGTTCTACTCGAGATTGTGAGCGGAAGAAAGTGTCGTGATCATTGGGAGAAGGGGCTCATAGAGTTGGTTTGGGATGCTTATGGAAGAGGAGAGCTCGTTGAAGCTTTGGATGGGAAACTGCGAGAGGGTTTAATGGAGCAGCCAAGAGAGGCTGAGCGAATGAGCTTGGTTGGGCTGTGGTGTGCTCATCCTGATGCCACTCACAGGCCATCTATCAAGAAAGTGATTAAAGTTCTTAGTTTTGAGGAGGCAGCGCCTAATTTACCACCAAAAATGCCGCTCCCAACTTTCAACTATGATGCTAATTTATCCCTTAAATTTCCTAAAATGAATGTTGTATGTCCAGAGACAAACTTTGGCCTGACTTGTAGTTTAAGTTCTTAGGAAAATGTATCGGAATTTTCTAATGTTATTTGGCAAAAACCTTCATTTGTGCATAGTATGATCACAAGCAAAATGGTTAAGGTCTTGACTCTTCATTGTTGAAGAAGTTTTACAACAATCTCAACTAATAGAATTGTGTATAGTTTTTCTTTTTTTGGTCAAAATATACGTTGTAGTCCCTAATTATTTAGACCATTTTCTCAGTTGTTTAAGAAATTTTAATTTACTTAGAAATTTTAATTTACTTTAAATTATATCATCATTGTGGGTGAGGATTAAAATTAGTGGAGGATAAATTTACCAGTTAACTTAGTAAGTTGACATAGATATTAGGTCATATTTAAGAGAGATGGTTCTAATTTTCTTTTTTTTGATCCAAGAGATGTCATTTCTAATTCCTCTTCTAAATTTTCTAGAATTCTGTTTCAATTTGAACTTTTCCCCTCTCTAGTTTTAACCTCAATTTTATAAAGTTGATACGTAAAGAATTCAATTTTAAATTTTGGAATTAAATTAAAAAATATCTCATTATTAGAGATTGAAACATATATACATATAGCCCAACAAAGAATTATGTTTAGGTTTTTCTTTATTATTTTTTTTAGTTGCCTTGAGAAGTTCTTAGTTCTTATCTTACATGGCTTTTTCTGGAAAAAGAAAGAGGAAATAATTGGGTTGTGGAGTGGAGGGAAATAGAAGAATGCAGTGCTCCTGCATTTTCTGGTCCACAAATCTGAAACTGGGACCTTCAATTTCCAAGTCGAAGGTATCAATCGCCGGAGCAGAGACCATCGACATTGCCGGAAGAATTTCATTACCTTCTCATGTGAAGGCCATCACCAGCACCTCCAACCCCTTCGTTAAGCACTGTGTAAAACTCCGCTTCAGTTCTTCTTATCGCCACTTCCATGGCTCCGTCCTCGTCGTCGGCGCTACTCCAATCAGGTCGCCTTTTATTCCCCAACTTTTCCGAGTTCTGTTCATAATTGAAAATTCAAATTCGTCTATGCACGCATGGTTTTACTTTTTAAATTCTTTTCATCGATAAATTTCATTAGCTCTCGAGAAAGCAAAACCCTTTAACTCTTTTGCAAATCTATCATATGCTTTAAACAATTCTCTTACATAGTTTATTAGTATTTCGTCTTTTAATTGGAATCTTACCTAGGGTTCGCGTGCACAGTTTTAACGTGGATAATGTTATGTGGATGTTGTGCTGTTGGTCCTAGTTAAAGACTGAACATTGTTTTATGAATTTCCCCTGAAATATTGGTTTCATGTGTAAGCAACCAAAAGTAGTGTACACATTCATTTATAATTGCTCCATCTTCTTTGTGTGCAGTGTTTAATGTTTTTGGAGAATTAAGGTATTGGAATCAAGTCCAAAGTAATAGCAATCATGTGACGGAAAATTATGGAAGCAGCCTTAAGCATTCATGAGTTTTTATTTGATTGTCACTGTTCTGTGATGGAACTATGACTTAGTTTCTGTTTTTGAACTTTGGAAACTCGATATTGATTGGCAAAATAATAAATTGTTAAAGAGTTATGTAGAATTGGTGCTTTCCTGCAACAATATCAGCATAAATTCTTTCTTGTGAAGTCATATTTTGTTGTTATGATTATTTCGTTCAGTCTACAGATACCTCTGTCCATTATTTGCAAGACAGACTATTATATTCCTCTCTTATGTGGATTCCTTGCACATATTGTAGTTCATTTCTAGTTGGAATTGTTGAAAGTTATTGCGAACTTTGATATATGTTTTTCAAAATCTACTCCGATCATTTCAATGCAATATTTTTGGGGCATAAAGGATTTTATCTGATGGTCTTCCCACGAGAAAATTTGCTATCGAGCATTTTTCCATGGGTTTGGCCCTCCCAGTCCCCTTTGGATCTTAGAAGTTCTGTCTTGTATTAGTTCATGTTTCTGAATTGGACATTATTTGTGATAAAATGTTTTGCTGGCTTTGTTAAATATGTTATGGTATATTTTATCTTTTTATAATATTTTTCACTCCTCTCATTCCTGGGCTCAAATATTCATTTGATTCACAAAACCCAACATGGGAACTATATTAATATTAATTGGGAAGGAAATGATATTTTAGGAATTCAAATACAAGATCTCTTGTTTTGATATCATGTTAAATCACCACTATACTCGAAAGCTTACTAATAGGTTTTGTTATATTCCATTTTTTTAATAATTTTCTTTAACAGATTTCATTTGGTTTATATGCACTTACATTGAAGTCTTTCACAGGGAAATTTGCAGGTTTCAGGAGACTCTGCATGGAACAACTAGTACATTGGAGTGCCTACTTCTCCTAGATGAAGTTGATGTTCCTGAAGGACTAGTTGATGTATCTGTTCGTATTGTGCGGGTGAGCCCAACTGTGATGAAAAAGCTTTCTGGCATGCAATCAACAGAATCTATTGATGCAATTGCGCTAATGAGAATACCTGCCAGTTTTTCTAGTGTATATCACAATGAAAAAGAAGCAAATTTTAGAAGATGGTTTCCATCTCTACATCGAATACTAGTCCTTGAGGGAATCCAGGTAATTCTTTAATTTGGAGTTGAACAAAGTCTTGTAATTTAGCGCATCTAATTGTCCTGCCGAAGTGCTTACAAAATAGTTATCATTTGGCCCCATTCATTCTATCATTACTGCTAAGATGGCTTTTCTACCTCAAGTTGAGCTATCTCTCAATGCCATTGTGTGTGGGTGACCCTGTGCCCATTGACATGGTTATAGTCTTTCTTAATTCACTTTTAAAGGGCAAATGAGCCACGGTTCTCTTAATCTATCTTAAGTCCTTTGATGATAACCTTTATGCTTAGTGTTTGATGTTTATGAGGTTATTACCGAGCTTTGCTGATATATATATCCATCTGTTAACATGAAATTTACTAGCTCATCTTAGTTTATTGCAGGACCCAGGCAATCTTGGTACATTAATCAGGTCTGCTTTGGCCTTCAAATGGGTAAGAATAAATTCCACAGACTCCCATTACCTTCATTCTTTGACTGTTTTTTCCATTCAATATCCTTTTCACGCTCTGTGGGTATGGGGTGAATATCACATAGTGCACTTATTGGTATGACATACCATGTTTGAAATGGTTTAATGGTTTTTCTGGAAAAATATTGTACCGATTCAGATCTTCGCAACAGTTCAGATCTTGACCTTCGTAGTTTGAAATTGCATATAGGATTAGATATGACATACCACCATGTTTAAGAATGTGATCTTTTTCAAACTAAGATGAATCGTTGCTTGTGCGCTTGCTCAAGTAGTATATGCCTCATATTCTTTTTATGCATCTCCTCATATTCTTTTTTTTATGCATCTTCTCTCTTTAGTGGTAACTTGTTTGGAGAAAAACTTGACCGCCTCTAAGCTTGCCTTGACGTCTTCTAAAATTTGTTTTAAAAAAACTGTTTGACAAATAATATCTTAGCAATTGTTTCGAATTTTTCTTCTAAATCTCTTTTACTTTAATGTAGAAGATAAATTGAAAAACGTTTAGAATTGCATTTTCTTACAAGCTTTTACATTCTCTTGTATGTATTTGGTTATGTCAAACAGAATGGTGTTTTTCTACTTCCTGGGTGTTGTGATCCATTCAACGAGAAGGCACTCCGAGCCTCACGAGGAGCATCTTTTCAGCTTCCAATAGTCTCTGGCACTTGGAATCATCTTGAGGCTCTAAAAAATGAATTCCAAATGAAAATGTTGGCTGGACATCCCGAAAGTAATGAACCGAAGCCCGTATCGTTCCTTTCGCAACAGTTTGCAAATTCTTTGAAAGATTTTCCATTGTGCTTGGTTTTGGGTTGTGAAGGGAGTGGTCTGTCTGAGAAATCTTGGCAAGTTTGTGAGCTTTTGAGCATTCCAATGGCGGGTGGTTTCGAGTCCCTCAACGTCTCCGTTGCAGGTGGAATTTTCTTGTACATGCTACAGAACGAAAACCATACACATATTTGATGCTTTTCTTATTTGATTACATTTTTAGAATGTGTTGTTCTTGCACGAATTTTGAATTCCAAGCCCTCATTTGACCCTAAATGTTGTACAGTAGGCACAGTTCAGTCACTAATCCTCTTCTGCATCTCTGGATTACATTATATACTGTCAACTAAATTTTTTAGGTAACATTATTGACCAGCAATACTTCCCCTCTTGCCTTAGCCGTGTAAAAAATTATTCAATATAGCCGCCACACTGTTGTTGAGATTGTGTTTGTTTCCCTCAACTCTTGAACGAATAGTCAAATTATAGTTTTTAGTTTCTCGCTACTACGTGCATTTGGCGGTTAGTTTTTAGTTTCTCGCTACTACATGCATTCAACAGTATAAAACCGTTTGTCACATTCTAGTATCTTCTAATGATTTCTCACTAACTAAAGTTAGGAGGATTAGAATGAAAGAGTCCTTTTACATGTTTTTACGTAAATAAATATGTATTTTTAAAAATCGTAGAAATTTTGGAATTTTATGAAAAGTCATAACACATTGTGGAAAATCACACTTATGTTATATTTTTAAAATAATAAATTTATGTTATAGATGGAATCTGGCTTACCTAAAGAATCCAATATGATGTATATTAGATTTTAACGGTTTAAAATAGTCGTTAACAAGATTAAAAATCCTTACAAAACCAATTGATATGGTGTTGGAGGGCAACAAACTCAAAGGAACATTCCATTCAAAAATAACAAAGGTTTACAATCACAACTTGAAAAACTTAGATCAACCAATTTTCAAGTCAAATTGATGGGAGCTCAATTAATATCAATGCCACCCACATTCCAAACAAAGTGAGTCCCTTAAGCTATAAATTATTTAAAGGATAGACAAAGTTTTGCACGGTGACATTTTTTATGTATATACCATTTTTTATTCCAAAATTTAGGGAAGCAAATTAGATGAAAACTATATAAAAAAAATTAATTATTATATATACTTTTTCTGAATGGTGACAAAT